AATATTTCGTCATAATAATTATTGTTTTTTATTTTATTATATTTAATCTTCAAATTATATCTATTCTTCATAATTGATGTCTTTTTAAGACCTTTTATATATAATATATTTCTGTTCTTTGTTAATTATATTTATTTATATATATTAAGTTTATATATCTTCTTTCCATTTTTTTTTTTATATTGTTATATTTCTTCATTTTAAATTTATGTTAATGATGGTAAAGTTTTTTAATATTATCTATTAGATAGCTGTATCTTATTATCTTATAAAAATAATACACGTTTTTAAATTATACTTTTAGAACGATAATATGACATTATTATTTATATTATAAAATTAATAATAATATTTATATATATATATATATATATATAATATTATCTATATATATACAATTTTAAATATATATAAATATATTTATATATAATTATATTTTTACATAAATGTTTTATCTATATAAATATTAATTTTTATTACTAAATATTATATTTTTTTTATTATATTTAAATATTTAATATTAAATTAATAGTATATAATTTTAATTTTTTTTTAACAAACTATTAAAAAAAATGAATAGAAAATATTTATATATAATAAACAAAGAAAAGTAAAAAACAAATATAATAAAATATATTTAATTTTATTAGTATATATTATTTCTAAAATTATTTTATATATAAAGTTATTAACATGTAAAAGAAAGCGTTAAATAAATATATTTGAATAAAAATTTTGAAAATGATATTAAAAAATATTATGATGATAATTCGAATACTTCTTCAAATAATAATTCCAAAAAAAATATAAAAAACTATTAATTTATAACATCAAAAAAATCTAACTTAGGACATGGTGCATATAGTCACGTGAAACTTGCAATAGATAATTATTCTGGTAAAAAAGTTGCAATTAAATGTGTAAAAAAAAAATAGTTAATATATTTTATATTAATTTTATAATAAAATTTTATATATTATATAAATTTATTTATTTATTTATATATATTCAAATAAATAAATATATTAAATATAATTATATATATATAAATATATATATATATATATATTTATATATTATTTTAACTATATTTATATTATTATATATTTATATATATATACTTTTTTATAATATATATAATAGATTTCTAAAGAAGGTGGGGGTTAAATTATGTTCTATTGAAAATTTAAAAAGAGAAATTAAACTATAAAAAAAAATGATTCATTAAAATATTTGTAAACTTTTTAGTTTTTTCGAGGATAAACAAAATGTATATTTAGTTCTCGAGTATTGTGAGAAAGGCAATTTATTTTAAATATTAAAAAAGTCTTAATTTTTTTTAGAAAAAACTGCTTTTGCTTTTTTTTTTAAACATGTTTGGCTATTGATCATTTACATAAAAATGATATAATACATAGAGATTTAAAAGTTTAAAATAAATATTCATATTTTTTATAATTTAAGATATATATTATTAAAAAAAAAAAAGCCAGAAAATTTATTATTAAATTCTTAAAATATATTAAAAGTTTGTGATTTTGGTTTAAGCGCAGAAAGAGCAGATGAAAGAATTACATTTTGTGGTACTTTAGATTATATGGCTCCTGAAATAAAGGCAAGAGTTCCCCATGATCATCGTGTAGATATATGGTCTTTGGGAATACTTTTATATGAATTAACTCATGGTTAAACTCCTGTTTATGATAATTATATTTATCAGAAATAAAATTTGAATAATAATAATTAACTATTAATTTTAATTAAAATATATCTTTGGAACTGAAAGATTTATTAATTAATATTCTCTAAATTAACCCTTTAAAAAGAATTACTTTATAAAATATATTCGAACATCCTTGGATGATTAAAAATTATGAAATTTAAGGGCTTAATTATCTATAAGTATTGGAATAATAATAAAATTAATTAAGTTTATAATAATAAAGTCTATTAAATACTTCTAAAAATTCATAAAATAATAAACAATTAAGGTCTTTTTCTTGTGAGTAAAAAAACTATAAAAAAACAATTAAAGAAAATCAATAATTCCAAATATCTCATAAAGTTGACGAAGAAGTAGAAAATTTAAAAAGCTCAGTTTTAAGTAATAGGTATTTGAATTTAAAAAGATAAAATGATATCAATAAATTTAGAGAGGAAACATTTTTTGATAGAATATTAATAGCTTTTGGATGTATTAATAGAGATAAAAAGAAAAAATGGTGATTTTTATATATATATAAATAATAATAAATATACAAAATAAGAAAAATACTACAAATTTATTTTCAATTATTATATTTTTATAATACTTTATCTATATTATTTTAAGGAAAATAATGTAAAAAACAACCAACTATATCAAAATATAATTGCTGTTATTAATTGTTATTTTCTTCGATTTATTCGGTTTATTTTTAAATAATGATAGGCATCTCATATTATTTTGTATTATTAATAAAATTGTTTTTTTAAATAAGAGATTAGGAAGAAATTTCAATTTATTACAAAGACATATTTTACATTAATTCAGAAGTTTATTAAATAACTTTGAAATCTTCACTTTTTCTGCTCTATTTTTATTTCCCTTATAATTATTATTATTAAAAATATTAGTTTTTTAAAATAATTTAGCTATTAATACAATCTTCTTCTTTTTATAAACTACTTCCTTTATATAGACCAATATTATTATTTACATTAGAAGATTTTAAAATATCTAAATCATCATCAAAATCATCTTAAGAGTATTTATCAGAATTTCCTTAGTTATCCATATTATTAAAATCATTAAAGCTTTGATATGAATCATCCATAATACAGCTTATTGCAAATTGTACTTGATCTAAATTAGCTCTTGCATTTATATTAATTCGAGTATTCCGGTCACATTTTTTTCTTTCTTAGTAATTATCTGAAAACCAAGTGCTTCTTAAATATTTTAAATTCGGTTAATAGGTTACTTTTGGACATTAAGTAGATAAATGAGTATGTTAAGTACATATATAACATTTAATATCAATTTAATTGAATAATAATTTCAAATTTATAGTATCTCTAATCATACAGAATTTATGGTATTCCTATTAATATTGTTTCAGATAAGATAAAAAATGCTCTCTGTTTACTTTCAATAGCTTCACTTGGGAAGTCGTTATTATTTTACATAATGACTCTTTTCCTGTAAAAAAGCTTAATTCTCCAAATGATTCTCCTTTTTTTAACGCTATTAGGGTTTTATCTTAGGTTTTGACCTTTATTTTTTTGTATTTTTGTTTGTTTGTTTTTTTTTTTTTATACTTCCACTTATCCTTCTAAAATAAAATAAAAATCATAATATTAGATAGTTGTATCTATAATAACTTCATGGGGTAAATGCATTTATTCAGTAGAAAATTCTATTATTGAGTTTTTAGTTTCATCGTTAAAGTAAGTAAACCATTTAACTTTTGAAGAGAGTAAATTGATGAGTTAATTCTTGATTTCCTTTTTTTTATTTTCAGGTATTAAATTAATAATTTAATTTGGTTTTAAATCTTATTCGAGTACTTCGGTTCCTAAATTAGCATTTTAAAATCTCCATAAAATATCATTTAGAACATGATCTTGATTAATTTAATATAAATGTAATTATTATCTTAATTTAACTAAAAAATTTATCTGATTTTGACAATCTTTTACTATTATATAAGCTTGTTGGATGAAGTATATTTTATAAAAAAATTAAAATAAAATATATATAAATAATATTCCTTAGCCTAATGTATTAATATCTTAAAATTTAATAATTTAAGATTAACTAAAACTAAAGATATCTTCCAGTTATTTATATAACAAATAAAAATAATTTTCGCTTTAATAAAGTTTATTATTATTAGTTTATGAAGAACCATATATATCTAATAAAAAAAGAAATCCAACTGAAAAATGGGAATAAAGGATTATTTTGGCACTTAAACTTAATATAAGATATAATTTAAGAAATCTAAATTTGACGAGAAAAGTTTATAAGAACATAAAATAATCTAATATATCAAAAAGCTTTCCATAAATAAGAATTTCAAATATTTTATTTAAATTTGAATAATTTTAAATAATAAATTCTTCCAAAAATATATTTTTAAAAAGAGTTATTAAAGGTAGAATATTTTAAGCTATTTTTCTAATTATATTTATATTATTTTTATATCTTTTATTTAAATTACTATTAAATAAAAGTTTTAAATACAAAATAAAAATACCAATACTTGCAAATTCTTTCTGGAAATAAGTTATTTCATTATTATCAGAAACGAAAACCTTAATATAGGAAAAAGAAAGTAAAAAAACGATAAAAACACACATAATACTATTCCATATAAAACAAGGTATTTTAAAGGGATCGATTTTATCACAAAAGTAATTTTTAAGAAGAAATAATTATATAATTTTACTAACTATGCTTTATAATTGATTTTCTTCTTTTGTTTAAATTACACACTTATCTCCAATTATTTCTACTATTCTTTTTTCGAATAAATTTGCAGAATTAGTACTGCTTTTTCGTTTTTTTTAATATTAGGACTTTTATGTTTCTATTCTATTTAATTAATTCTGTTCACTGATTTTGCTTGTTTAATTTTTTAAAGGGTCAAAGGGGGTATGTTAAGATTGAAATTTATAATTTAGGTTAGATTGTTTAATTTTATTTATTTTTACTGCAGGAGCTAATTAGTTAATTATATCTTAATCAAAAACAAATCCATTAGGAAACGATATTGAAGATACATTCAAACTTGAATTTCTAGCTGAATTTCTTGCTTACAATTTAGATATTCGCTATTTTGGTTACTATTAATCTTATAATTAATGATTTTATTATAATAATTACTATTATTTTTCTTAAAATTAAGATATTAAATTAATATCTTTTTAATTTTATTTTAAAGATAATTTTTAAAGTTGATTGTAGTTTTACTTTTAATGTTTATATATATAAATATTTAAAAAAAAAATATTATAATATTCTACTTGCTTATTAAATAATGTGTTATTATTTGAAATTATTTTTTGTGATGATTAATCGTTTTTTTCAGATTCGGTTGTTATAATTATATTGTTTTATTCTTATGCTTAATTTGCAAAAATAGATGTTTTTTTATGAGTTTATATATTTAAATGCATTTTTTTTTTTTGGTAAAATAAAATATATTTTTCTTTTTAATATTTTCTTTTTTAATTAATGTAATTTTTATTTTATATTATAAAAAATAAAAATAAAATAAACGGTATAATATTGAAAAAAATAATAAAAAAAAAGAATATATTTTTATTTGAAAAAAATTAATTATTTAATTTTTAATGTTTTTTTAAAATTAATTCAATTAAGATAAAATTTTAATATTTATTTTTATAATTAATTAAAAATTAAAATACACATTATTTATTAATTATATAATAATCTAAAATTTTAATATGATTGTAAAGAATATTTTATAAATTAATGACTTATTTAAAAAAATTATTAAATAAATAAATATAAATGTTTTTTAAATTTAAATAGCAATATATAATGTCTATTAAATCAATTTTATCAATTAAATAAATACAATTTATAATATTAATCATATATAATTATGTATTTTCATAAACAATAAATTAGTATAGCTTTTAGGATTCTTAAGTATAAAATATAAATAATTTATTGTTTTTTTATTTGGTTTTTAAATAAATAGTTTAATGAACATAGAATTTTAAGAATTCTAGATAATGATATTTTAAATTATTTTTATAATTGAAGATAATAATCTATTTTAATTATTAACTAAAATTTTTAATAGTGAAAAAAATTTAAAGTGTATACTTAAAAAAAATTAAAAATTCACGATTATAAATAGTTCATTAATAATTAAAATAATCTTATGAAATAATAAAATATATTCATATATTAAAATTTTCAAATATAATGCTTAGTGATATTTCTCTACTAAAGTTTATATACTTTAGACTTTTGCATAATATATTAATTATCCATATTACATTTATATAAATTAAATAATTAATTTTTATATATTGCCCTGATAAAATATAAAAAAGACAAAAATACTTGTTAAATATGAGACAAAAAAATATTAAAAACGACTTCATTTCAAACTTTATCCGATTATATTTTATTGAAGTAAATAAAAAATAAGAAAAAAATATAAATTAGGTGGATAAAAAGAAAAATAAATAAAATTTAAATATTGATGTGATATATATAAATAATAATAATAGTAACAAAAATTTAATAAGTATTTCAATTAATTAGGTTACCTATTTTCAAATAAAAACTTTATGAAAGAAATATTATGGAAAATAAAATTAATAATATTTTATTTTTATGTAAATTACTTCATAAGAGATTTAATAAAAATGTTTTTGATGAAAATGATAACAAATTAAGGGGAAAATTAAATATCTTAAAAAATATTAAATATTTGATTAGTGGTTTATTAGTATTAAAGAAAAAATGGTCTTTCTTAGTCCAGAAATTATATTTAATTATATTAGTCAATAGTTTAAAAAAATATATATAAAAAAATGCATGATATAGATATAATATATATGTATATATTTTTTAATATTTAGTTTAATTAATTATTTAATAATTTTTTTTAGTTATTTCTTTAAAAAAATATAAAATGTAAAATTATTAGAAAAAATATATAAATAATATTTCTTATATTTTTGTAATTATTTATCAAAAATACTCAAATAAAAAAATATTTATATTAAAATTTAAATATTTTTTTTTTATCATGATCAAATGCAAAGATTGATATTACTAAAATTTATCATGAAAATTTTTATTTTTAATAATTTGCAATTTAATTATCTGAAAATAAAATAACTATAAAAAAATATAAAATTAATGATTTATATAATATAATATTTAATTACATTAGTTATTATTAAGTTTATTAGAATAAATACTTTCATTTATTTAAGACTAATTACTTTAAAAACTAAGGTCTTCTTATTAATTTTATAATTAATTTAAATATTCTTAATTCAAAGGAAATTCGATTCCATTTCCATCTTGTTTTACATCATTTCCGAAAATAGGAAAAGGCCATAAGAATATGTTTTTTTCAAAAACTTAATAAATATTATTTAATAAACCAACATCATATTATTTAATTTAGTTAGCATTAATATCATTTTTTTATATTTTTTCAACATTAGTTTGATTATAAAATATTAACTTCAGGTGAAATTACAAATAATTTAATGTAATTAAATTAAAAGGGATTAATATGATAGTTGGTAAAATAAGCCATAATTACTTAGGCTTAAATTTTTAGAAATTATGAATCAAATTTTTAAAATGAAAATAGTTTCCAATTAAGACATATATGATTAGTATATTTGCATATATAAGTAATAAAATAAAAAACTTTTTGTTGCCAAATCCTATGCAATTATTTGCCCAAGAAAAATGATGATCCATACACAAAATGCATCTTTAGCAATAACTACAATGATGGGTTCTTTCAGGCTTTTTAGTTATATAAAATTCAAATTAAATAAATTCATATATTTTACTTTGAAAACGTGACAAATAAGGCAATATTTTACTTTATGTTTATTTTAAGAAGACTATTAATTTTATTATTCCTTTTTTTATTTTTTTAATAAAGTTAATATTTCTTTGTATTAAAAAAAAAAAAAAAAAAAAAAACCCAAAATAAAGGAATTCTGCCTGGGTCAGTAATCATAACTTTAATTAAACACCAACTTACCATCATATATAAAATATTAAAACCTATAAAGTAGATTTTTGAATGGTCAAACTGTTTATATAAATCAGTATTATCTTTTTTTATCTTTATGAAATGTTAAAATATATTTTTTTACATTAAAATATTTATGGAATCCATATTAAAATCATATCATAATAAAGTAAAAGCATTGATGCTATTAAAATAATGCTTTATAATTGATTAAAAATACTATGAAATTTTTTATTAAAATGCATCCTATAGATCTTAGTATTTATTAAATAAAAAAATAGAAATGAAATATATATAATTTAAAATATTATAAAATATAATATACATAATATATAATTGATATATAAAATAAATAAAAATGGATAAATTTAAATATTTAATTTTTTTATTTAAAATAATTAAAAAATATAATAATATATAAAACTAATAAAGATAATTTTTTTTTTTTCTAAGTTAATATAATTTAATGATAAATATGTATTTTTGTAAAATAAAATGCTTAATTTTAATTGATCAACTATATTTAGATTTTTTTTTTTAATGTTATTTTAAAAGACTTTCAATTATACTAATATCTTCATAACCTTATATTATTAGTTTTATCATTTGTTTATGGCTTTCCATATTATTTACACTACTTGCTTAAAGCCATTTTTCAGAATAAAATTCAAGGAAAGTTTTAAAAATTCCTCCATAATTAATATGATGGATTAAAAGTCTAATAGAATAATTATTAAAACTTTTATTTTCTATGTATCTCTTGAATTTTTTTCTCATTTCTTAAAGACTATCTTATTATTATTTTGAAGAATTAAAAAGATCTAAAATAACTTAGTTCTTGGAACATTCTAATTGTTCAAAAAATAAGTTATTATCCTTTAAAATAAAGTTTTTGAAGGCATTCATTATATTTTTTACTACATTTTTTTTATTATTATATGATATATTTAGGTCAATTTAGCTACTGTTTTATTTTTATAATTTAATATTTTTATAATTTTATTATTCTGAGTTTAAATTTGATGATGCAATTAGTTTTTTTAAAAAATTACATCATTTTAGATACAAGAAATGTTATTATTTTAAATATTATATTAGTAGTCTGTGTATTAATCATAGTTTTATTACTAAAGAAAGTGCTCCGTATTTTAATTATAGTTATTAAGGCATTAATTATCATTTTGTTATTAATTGTTAGTATAATTATATTAGTTTTCATTTTTTATCTATTGTAAGTTTTATTATTATTTGAAAAATGTATAATAATCAAATTCACAACAATCATTTTAAATGTAATTTTATTCTTAAATTATCTCCTATTTTTAAAAAAATATTATTAAATAAATATAATATTTACCATAATTTTTAAATATATAAGATAAAATACAACTTAAATAAAAATATTTTTTTTGATATATAAAATAAATATTGAAAATACCAAAATTTATTTAATTTTTTAGTATTTACATAATTTTATATCTATGGATAATTATTTATATTTAAAAATGAATCTTAGTCTATTTATAGTTTATTATTTTGTTCACATATATAATTAAAATTCATTTTCTTTTATTAATGATATTTTTTTTTTTATGTATTATTTTTTTCTTCTATTTATTTTAATAATAAATATTATATATATTTTTTATTATATAGTACCTTCCTTAACTTTTGATAGCATATTTAATTAATATATTAACAAATTGCTAATCAGATAAAAGGTCTATCTTAAATAAAATTAAATAAATAAATAAATACTTAAAATGAAAATTGAAAATGAAATAATTTAAAAAACTATATTTTTTATTTTATTGATAATCTAATTAAAAATACAAATGAAATTAATTATGACACTTATATATGAATTCAAATTAAATAAAGATATAAAATTTAAAAAATAATGGTCTTTATAATATAAAAATAAATAGTAAAATATAAATATTATATATATATATATAAATATATATATATA